AGTGATTTCACTTCGGAGAACTACCCAGAAATGGGATTGCTGGATCATAAAATTGTACTTAAAAATTATTTTTGAGCAACTATATTGTTTTTCATAGTGACTACAGCAATTTACATCCCCACCAACTTGTACTAAGGTTCTCTTTTCTCTGCATCCTCACCAACACTTTTTTCTTTTTGATAAGTCATTCTAACAGGTGATATCTTATTTTGGTTTTGATTGGCATTTCTGAAATGATTAGAGATGTTGAGCACCTTATCATGTACCTGTTGGCCATCTTTCTGTATGCCTTCTTTGTAAAATGTCTATTCAGTTCCTTTGTTTATTTCTGGGCTCTATTCTGTTCCAGTGGTTTATGTGTGTTTTTATGCTGAAGGCTCAGATCATGGTTAGCAATTTTTAGCAGTATTCTTAAATTAAGGTATGTGCAACATATTTTTAGACAATTCTAGTGCACACTTTGAATAGACTGTAGTATAGTATAAATATAACTTTTATTTGCACTAGGAAACCAAAAAATTTGTGTGACTCATTTTTTTGCCACATTCCTTCATTGAGATGGTCTGGAACAGAACCTACAATGTCTGTGAGGGATGCCTGTTATCACATTTAATCACAAGCACTGTGATGTAGATGTTATCCTTGTTATCCAAATGAGGAAGCTAAGGCTTAGAACAGTTAAGTAATTTACTAGTTACAGAGTAGGTGGAAGCTAAACTACAGTGCCCTTATTTTTATTTACCTAATGCCATTCTTGTCATAAAAACAGTTTATCACATCAACGGACTCTATAAAAAGAAAAATCTCATGATTGTATCACTAGAAGAAGAAAAAGCATTTGACAGAACCAAACACCCATTTATGGTTTGTTTGTTTTTTAAATATATTTTATTGATTTTGTACAGAGAGGACAGGAGAGAGATAGCGAGTTAGAAACATCGATGAGAGAGATGTGATGTGCCCGCAACCAAGGTACATGCCCTTGACCGGAATCGAACCCGGGACCCTTCAGTCCCCAAGCCGACGCTCTATCCATTGAGCCAAACCGGTTTCGGCCCATTTATGGTTTAAAAAATAAATAAATAAATAAATAACCTCAAAGTAAATGAGGAATAGAGGGGAATTTCTTCACCTTGATCAAGAACATCAAAAAAGCTACAGCTAAGATCACACTTAATGTTGAGAAACTTAAGTTTTTTCACTAAGATCAGATACATGGCAAGGATGTCCCTTCTCACCACTTGTTTTCAACATCCTGGAAGTCCTTGCCAATGCAATAAGCATATTGAGAAGAAAGGTGTGAAACTGTTATTTCACAGATTACTTGAGAAACTAGAAAATTCAAAATCTCCTCACACTAATAAACAGTTTATTCCAAGGTTGCAAGATATAAATGCAAAGGGCAATTGCTGTCCTGCATATAAACAATGAACAAGTTCAATTTGAAATTAAAAACAAAATACCATTTACCTTAGTCTCAAAATATTGAACTACATTTAAGGTATAAATCTAACAAAAGATATACATAGAGGGACTGCAGAACTGATGCATGAAACCAAAGAATCAAGTAAATGAATAGGTATACCATGTTCATGGATACGAAGACTCTGTATTGTCGAGATGTCAGTTCTTCCCAGCTTGATCTATACGTCGATACAAATTCCAACCATTTATTTTGTGGCTATCAACAAAGTGATTCTAAAATTTATTTGGAGGCAAAAGGCCCAGAATAGCCAGCACAGTATTGAAGGAGAAATAAGTTGGAGGACTGGCGCTACCCAACTTACTATGAAGCTATAGTAATCGAGACAGTGTGGTTTGGCTTAAAGAGGGGACAAATAGATCAAATGGGACAGAATGAAGGATCCAGAATAGAGCCCCCCATCAATCTAGTCCGCTCATCTTTGACACTGGAGAGCAAAGACAATCTCTTCAACAAATGGTGCTGGAACAACTGGACATCATATGCAAAACAATGAAAATACAGACATTATACCCATCAGAAGAATTTACTCCAAATGTAACTTAAAACTAAATGTAAAACACAACATTAGAAAACTCTTAGAAGATGACATAGGAGAAAGTCTGGATGACCTTGGTTATGATGATGCCTTTTAGGTAAACACCAAAGACACAATCCATGAGAAGAAACAATTGAGAAGTTGGATTTCGTTAAATAAAAAAGTTCTGCTATGTGAAAGACAATATCGAGAGAATTACAAGAAAAGCCAAACTGGGAGATAACCAAAATATAAAAAACAAACAAAAAAACCCTCAAACTCAACAATAAGAAAACAACCTGTTTTTAGAATGGGCCAAAGACCTTAACAGACACCTCAGCAAGGAAGATATACAGATGGCAAATAAGCATATGTAAAGATGTTCCTTATTCCTAGCATATGTCAGGGAGTGCAGATTGTAAAGCCACAATGTGATCCTGCTACACAGCCCATCAGAATGGCCAAATTGTGGAACACTGGCCACCGTAAATGCTGGTGAGGTGTGGAGCAATGGAAGTGGGAATGGAGGATGGTTCAGCCACTACAAAACAGCCGAGCAGCTCTTATAAAACAAACTTTTACCACGTGTCCATCAATTATGCTCGTGGGTATTGACCCAAAGGAGTTGAAAACTTACATACATGTGCAGTCTGCCTATGGATGCTTAGCGCAGCTTTGTTCATGATTGCCAATACTAGAAAGAATCAAGAAGCTCCCTGGTAAATGAATGGACAGATAAATAGGTGCATCCAGACAACGGAATATTTTTCAGCATTAAAACAAAATGACTGCCAAGCCATCGCAAAGGTATGGGGAGGACCTAAGTGCACACTACTAAATGGAAGAAGTCAATTGGGAAGGCTACATCGTATATCATCCCAACCATACGACTTCCTGGGAAAGGTAAAATTATTGAGACAATAAGGTCAGTGATTGCCAGGGGGTGCGGGTGGGGGTATATGAGCAGAGCCCAGGTTTTTATGGGAGCCCATTGGCTATGACTTGGAGTGATTGTGATGTTTCAGTGTAGGTTCATCTTCATAAAAAACCACTCTAGGAGGGGATATTGGTAATGGAGGAAGCTGTGCATGTGTGGCGTTACCGGTTTCATGGGAAACCATCCGTTTCCATTTTATTATAAACCTAACGCTGTTCTAGAAAAAGAAAAGTGAATATTTAACATGGAGGTGGTTAAACTTTAGCATCAGAATCCCTGAGGGCTTGCTGGAACTCGGTCCCCCCTCAGTTTTCATTCTTAGCCAGGGTAGATGTGAGAGCATGGATTGCTAACAGTTTCCAGGGGCCACACTTTGAAAATCGCCAGGTGTCTGGTTGTGTTCATCATTTCCACATATCCATCATATGAAACGATGCCAGGTTGACTTCCATACCATGATGAGAAATTATAACGATGTGCATATGGTGTTGACCGGGCTCAAGTGTTTTCATTTTTGTTATGCTTTTATTTATTTCTCTGAGCTTATAAAAGCAATTAGGGAGATGATTATTTCTTTACCATTTTGTTATTTGTTATAATGCAACTTATTAGTTTGAAAACAAAAGAGCATAAAGTTTGCGGTTAATTTGTATTGTTTTGGACTTTCTGAAATGCTTTGAACTTGAAAAGTTCTAAGAAGTTGCATTGAAATTCTTTGTACTCGTGGTTGTTTAAATCAGCTTCTATTGATTTAGTGATTTGAAATAATATCAATGTATGTAAATATATACCTACTTAAAATGGGCAAAAACAGTTGGTTTAGCTATTTTAATGATAATCTATTCACATATTTTTCTAAATCAACATTGGTTTGTTTGAACAACTATGCATTTCTGAGAACATGTGAATTTATAACCTTTTTTTAAAGCAAGCATGTCAAACACAAAGGCAAACAGGCCAAATAAACAGGCTGAAGTTTATGTGGGCCGCGAAAAACAAAAACTTCAAGTTCATAGAAACAGGTTTATTCCGATAGAGACGTGCTAAATACAAAGGCTGAAATAAAGTCATTGTTACATAAAATAATAGAGCATTTTAACAAAAATTAATTTTTTCTTGAACATTAATTTATCAGACACTGAATAACTGCACAAATAATAAGTGTCATGCAAATCTTTTCTTTTTTTCTGAAAGTGAAATATTTCCTGTTGCGTGCACCAAACAAGTCAGTCTGAGACTAATGACGTGGCGATCGGCTGCCAAAATATTCGCTTTGGGTATTAGTGGAGAGAAACGGTGCGCCTGTGCGTAAGGCGCGTAAGGAACATGAACACAGCACCATTACAGTGATCAGTCATTAGCAAACGTTGTAGTTGGTTATTAATAATTATGTGTAACAGGATATTGTAAAAATTAAGTTACAAAATTTTTACTAAAACGTTTCTTATATACAGTTATATTGGCAGGGCTGCAAAAATATTCGTTGTGGGTCACGAGTTTGACATGCTTGCTTTAATTTAAAGGATCTGAAGACGATTCAGTTTCTGCTTATATAGGGAGAAATAAGTTTCTCATTCTGTGTATTTTAGCTACTGAAATGTGTGCATTATTAATTTTAATGATGATGAGCTGTCCAACTCAACGGGATGAAGTTGTCATTTTCTAAAGACCTGAGTTGTTCTGGATGAATCAAGTGCTGTGGGGTTGGAGGCTTCATGGAGTATTTGGGAGAAAGTCCAGCTTGCTGTAGCAGTAGGTGGTTTATAAAGTAACTGACATCATTCTCTGAAGCTTTTGATTATGGAACCAGGCATTTTTCTTATTTATTGTCTTTGGACTTGGTTGAAAGGCAGAAAAAGAAACTCTTGGCTTTGTGGGAAAGGGAGCAAGATCCTTACTTGAGTCAAGTTTTTATTTTAGGAATTAAAATGTTTGACTGTTCTCCCTAGTGTTAGCACCTGACACTGTGTTAGTGACTATTTGAAGAGTTCCAGATAAGTGACGAGGTTCCAGATTAATGTTTGTACATTTAAAGGTGTCTTCTGTTGCTTTTGTTTTCATAGAGAGGATCTGACGAACTACTCTCAGGTAGTGTTCTCAGTAGTCCAAACTCTAACATGAGCAGCATGGTGGTTACAGGTAAGTCTTCACTCTCCTTAACGGTCATTTTTGCCGTTTAGTCTGTTTTTATCAGAATAGACTATTTTTAAATGCTTTCTGATGACATATTTTAGAAGAAATTTTACTAGAGTATATATGTAGCAAGTGAGGAAATCTGAAGATGGTGACTTCTGAGGGCAGGTAACATTGCTTTTTTAAGCCACAAAAATATTATACATTTTTTGTTCATGTTACAAGTTTCCTAATTCTCACAGTTTCTATACTTCTGTTTTTAGCTTTTGTGTATTGTGTGTCATAAAGTATTTATAATTCTCTAGTTCACAAATCATAAAGCCCAAACTACAGATAAAACCCAAAATTTCAACTACAAAGTTGTATTTATTCTATGCTTTCAACTTTTTTCTTTTGAATTGACTTTTCTATGTTATCTATTTGGAAATTTAAAATTATTTACTTTTATAGTTAGGATTTTTAAAAAATTGTATATGTCTGAAATAATACTGTTGGCTTTTATGTCTGTAAACAAATGTAGACTAATTTTTAGACCTTAGTCTTATGGCTGAGACCAAAATTTTAATAGGATGGTGATTGATTTAGTTTGCCTTAGAACTCTACATTTTACATTTTTTACTGAAGACCAAAGTTTCTTTTTTCTAAAACTCCTGAATTGCTTGAGGAATGAAATGTGTTGGCAGTAAAAAGATTGTGGAAGACTGGACACGTATTGATTTCCTTCAGGTAGTCGTTGCTTATATACGCAGGCAGGCCTGATTTTATTGCACTTCACAGATGTTACATTTTTTACAAATTGAAGGCAAGGCCCTACACCAGCTAAAGAAATTGTGAGTCACCTGTGCGATTCTTGCCTTCCTGCGATTGTCTCTGCGGTGGGCCTGTACCTGTGTCTCCGTGCACACACACATTCCTGACTGTTCGGCTAAGTACAAATTACAATTGAGTATTTACCCAATATAGTCCTAGTGTTGTGAAGCTGAATTTGTCCACACAAAAAACATTTTCTGGTATATGGTGTAAGTTTTCAATGTACATAGAATATTCACCAGGATAGGCCATAAATGATGACATAAAGTGATTCTCAATAAACTTCAAATCATTGAAAGCTTAGATAGTACCTGATTGTAGTGGAATTTAATAGAAATTAAAAACATTTAGAAATATAGGAAGTTACCAAATGTTTATAAATTTACACAATTCTTAAGAATACATGAGTCAAAGAAGATATAAAGGTATACTTCTCACTGAATAAAAATGAAAACAAAAATATAATGTACTAAAATTTATTGGATGCAGCCCAAAAGAAGTGCATAGGGTGAAAAAATAAATCTGTACCTCTAATAGATATCTGTCTACCTATATTAGAAAAGAACCATATTTGGAGAAAGAAAGGTTTACAGTTTTCCAAGAAATGGAAGAAACATAAATTACCAATAGTGGGAATGAATGTGAAGATATTACTACACGTCCCACACAATGTAGAAGGAAAATATTATAAACATTGGTAATGCCAATAAACAAATTAGATGAGACAAATTCTTTAAAGTCTAATTTACCAAAACTGATATAACCTGTCATTTCATAATAGGTATGGGTTTATTCTGTATCATAAAAACTGACTTTTTAATCTTTCCATGGAGGCATAGGTGGCTTCACTGTTGAATTTTATGAACTTCAAAGAAAGAAGTAATCATCATCTTCAATACACTTTTTTAGACAATAGAGGAGGGGATACTCCCTAATTAGCTTTATGAAGCTACTGTGACTGACAGTACTTTACAGATGGAGTAAATGACGATTTCTTCTAACGATAGAGTCCATCTAAATGGAAAACTTTTCATCAAAAGGCATTAATTAGAGCACATCCCCTCAATTAGAAAGCAAGGCCAGGCAGCGTGAAAATGCTCATTCACATATTGGTACATACATTTGACAGAGGATTGGTCTCAGAGAAGGTAAAGAATTCTTCCACATCAGTAAACAAAGAGATCCCGAGTTTTAAAACGAGACAGTAGAAGGTATAGGAATGACTAGTAAACCCGTGAAAAGTCATCAGGAAAGCAAGTTATCACCAGGTGAGAGACTTACTTCAGCTAGAATCTAGGCTAAAATGAAAGCGACAACGCAAATGTTGATGAGGGTGGGAAGCAACTGGAGCTATATTGCTGGTGAGAGTGTAAAAGTTTTTAAACACAGGCTGGCAGTTTCTTACACAGGAAAGATAAACTTAGCCTCTGACCCAGTACTTTTACATCTAGGATTTTATTCATGTACTAGAGGTCCGGTGATTCATTCCCTTGGGTGTTTGTCCCTCAGCTCAGCCTGCATCCTCTCCAATCCAGGACCCCTCAGGGGGTATCTGACTGCCTCCCACAATCTGGGGACTGCTGGCTCCTAACCACTCGCCTGCCTGATCGCATAATCCCTCTGCCTGCCCGCCTGATTGCCCCTAACTGCTGGCCTGATCGCCCCGAACCCCCTCTGCCTTGTCCTGCACTCAGAACCCAGGATTCCCTGCCTCTAGCCAGCCGCAAGCACCCTTACCTTGGCTGGCTACTTGTAGTTTTGTCTTGCCGGAATGAGAAATGGCGAAGGGCTAAAAGGGGGTCCCTGTAGGCAGGGGTCTAGATACAGGATCTGATTTGTTACAAAGTGCCAAGGAGCTTGGACTTTACCTGATTTACATTTTAGAAAAGATTTTTGTTCCAGTTGTTATTTTGAAGAGGTAGAGGGGGCTTACTGCTATGCTATACATAGGGAAGACACTTAAACTACACTAATCTAGAGATTTTAGGGTCTCAGTATGGAGGAATCTGTGTGAGAATCAGAACATCTGAGTTATTAGGAAGGACATTGGTTTGGGAGAGATCCATGTTAACGTTAGAATCACTGGGTGATACATCCCCATCAACAAAGGGGTGACGTGGAAAAGGATTTGTTTTGGTTGAAAAGAATAATCTGTTACTGTACTCCTTTTAAAATTATGCCGAGGAATGATAACGTACTTGATAAAGCAGCAGTCGCCAGGAGGTTGGCAACTGCTGTTATAAAGAAGGGATCCAGTCTCTGTCAAGATGGAGTGAGATCAATGGAAGCCTAGTTTTAACCTGAGAAAACTACATGCACCTCTTACCTTAAGTTCAGGAAACATTAACTTAGTTTATCTTCATGCACAGAGGAAACACTGAGCTTTAAGATTTTTTTTTTTTTTCTAAAATAGAAAGATGAAGTGTCTGTCTGTGTTCTAACAGGCCCAGATTCAAATGTTGTTGTTTATTGTAAGAGCTTAAAACACCTTTAAAAGCTAGTGGTTATGCTTGCCTGGAGAAATTCTCATTGTTCAGGTGTCTCAACAGGACGGCCACAGGCACCATGATAGGAGACCGGCGGGGTTTGCCAGTGCAGAGCGGGTTCATCCTCACATTCCCCTCACCAGGGGCTCCGCCTGGCTCACGGCCCTGCCTCACTCTGTTTACAACGTGTCTGTCTCAACAGCCGTGCTCTGTCAGCTTTTCTACCGAGGCCTTTATGTCGGAGAATAAAAAACCTTTACAAGTGAGAAAAGTTAATGTTAACTTTAACTCAGATATTAGGACTGACTTTTTTTAATAAACTAGTTTTTTCAGAAATAATAGTGAGATGTTTCAAAATACAGCTGGCTGCTGCTAGGCCTGGGATTGGGCTTCACTGAGGCATCTGTAACTCTTTGGTGGCGGGCAAAGGCTGGACGACGGTAACATTGCTCTCCCGAGTCATTTCTTCGGCTGTGGAGGTGGGCTGTCCCTTCAGTTGGGGAGACATTTCTGCCCGAACAGCAGGATTTATTACCATTAAAGTGGGACGTTTTATCGCTTCTCGGCCTTTGGGCTGAGATCAGGTGTAGTAAAAGTGATGCTTTGTCTTATTCTGAAACTGAAATCATCTCAGATTTTAGTACGTTACTCAGAACTGGGAGATTTTAATTTTAATTTTTATGTGTAGTGTTGATGTCATTTCATTTTATATGTATTATAAAGTGTTCCTGCACACTGTGTCCCAGTTTGAATGTCGGGGGGGTGCTAGCCAACGTCCTCTTCCATGGAGAGGCCCCAAGAGCCTGCCTTCCTCACGGAGCCTCTGCTCTCCGCCTCGCGCTGAGCGGCTACTCGGAAATGCAGGTACAACAGATGCTACCGTCACCCTGGTGACACGGTGCTAGCTGCGGGAGGTAACCAAAGTACCGTCTGTCTGTTACACACCTTCGTTTCTGGTGCTCTCTTTAGGGTGTCTGTTTTCCCGAACAGGAACGTAGAGTGTGAGGATTCATTTTTCTTCGCTCAGTTTAAGGTGGTCACGTCCATGAGTGATCTGTAGTATGTAGATGCTGACAGCGATAAGATATTTAGGGAGATGAGGTGGTAATACTGAATTAGCAGAGGCCGAGGGTAAGCACCATGTGGACTGACTGCATAATTATTTTTACAGCATTGTTTTCTTTGATCCCGCTTTGGAATATGATATTTCCCAAACTGAACAATTTATAATTTTCAGGTGAAATTATAATCCTAGTATTTGCCAACTCAAATTTTTACATTTTAAAAAATTTGTTAGTCTGTAATATAAAGTTGCAAGATAATTATGTTCTTTTGCCATTGAACAATCTGTTTATGAACTTACATTATCACTTACTGTTTTTTACATACACTGTTTAGAAACATTTACCCAGTGGCAATCTTAATTAATTGGTAGATAGGATTCTCTTTGTTTCTTTGAAACCCCAGTTTTTAGGAATTATTCAAGTATACTCCGCTGTGTTTTTAGGTTCTTTTATAAACACTGCTTTGTGTTTTTTAATGCGGATAAGGAAAATTGATATGAAGACTATTTTCTTATGTCTTTCAGCCAATGGTAATGACAGTAAAAAGTTTAAAGGAGAAGATAAAATGGATGGAGCTCCCTCTCGTGTGCTTCATATCCGAAAGCTGCCCGGTGAGGTGACGGAAACCGAGGTCATTGCTCTGGGCTTACCTTTTGGAAAGGTGACCAACATCCTCATGCTGAAAGGGAAAAACCAGGTGCGCCTCTTTCAGAACCTACGGCTGGTAGCCAGCCCCCGCAGCAGGTGCCCTTCTGGTCACGGGAGGGCAGAGGGCAGAGCGGGGAGCAGGAGCGTGGCTCTTCCTGGTGCTGCTGCTCAGGGAACTCAGGCCGGGGCCGGAGGAGCTGCTGGCGTGCACTCAGACGCAGCTTGAGTGTTCCTCACGGGAGATTGTAGCGATAGAGAGGGAGGACTTTCCTGGGTCTGCCCTTGGTCATCTTGGCTTTAAGCTTATTCCCTGGAAATACTCACTGGCAGCCTTAGGAGAAAATAGTCATTACTCCTAGATATTATTCTTCATTGAGTAGAAGTGTCCGTCACAGTAGGGTCCAGGGATATTAAAAATCATTTTGTTTTTAAATTCCAATACCATTTAGAAGCACTATGAAATTTAACGTTCCCTTAAATATTAATGCTACTACTAATCTGACATTTAATTTTTTTTCTTTGTCTCTTAAATCATATTGCTTTAAAAATGACTTTGAGATCTCTTTTATTCTTTAGGTTAGGAGAGTAAAATTCTGATGCTAGAAAAAACTTAGATTTATTTTTCTCTAGTTTTTATTTTATTTTTGTTTATCCTCACCCAAGAATATTTTTCCACTGATTTTTAGGGAGAGTGGAAAAGAGAAAGAAAGAGAGAGAGAAACATCAATGTGAGAGAGAAACATCAATTAGGTGCCTCCTTCATGCACCCAGACCAAAGCCTGGACTGGGGAAGAGTCTGCAACCATGATAGTGCACTTGACTTGAATCAAACCCAGAACCCTTTGGTCTGCAGGCCGATGCTCTGTCTACTGAGCCAACCCGGATAGGGCTTCTCTAGCTTTTACTGGAGAGTACCTCTGCATGTGGGAAACAGGTGTCAGGCGGAAATAGCGCGGACACGGTTTTGTGTGCCTAGCCTGCAGGAAAGGGTTTCCACTTCTGCTGGTAGAGCATCTTCGTCACTGGAAAGGTTATGTTGTAGATACTGATTTTTCTAATTAGCTGAATAGGTTAGGCACATATTAAAGCTTATTTGAATTTAATTCATAGCATGAAATATTTTTGCATTCAAATTTTTAGGCATTTTTGGAACTAGCAACAGAGGAAGCTGCTATTACTATGGTGAATTACTATTCTGCTGTGACACCTCATCTTCGCAACCAACCGATTTATATCCAATACTCCAATCACAAGGAACTGAAGACAGATAACACACTAAACCAAGTGAGTGTGTGTGGGCACATAAATGAAATGGCCTGCAACAGAGTAAGAATCTCCGGTTAACAAGAAAGTACAGTTTTTAAGCATTCTGAAGCTATGTCTGTGGGCATCTTGTTGTTTTTAAGACATTTTCTTGCAGTGTGTTCCTAAGTGTTAAACATTATGTATATTTACAAAAAAAAGTATATTGATCTCTTCATATTTTAAATTAGTACTGTATAAATTAAATAGTATTTTTTCTATGTTTTTAAAGACCTGGTTAAATATTCTTTTTCTTGTTATAAGTTAAAATTTTATATAGAAATTTTTTATGTGGCAGGACTATTAGCATAAGCTATTTACATAACTCTACTGCTTGGATTTTATCAGTTAAATGCCTTTGGTTTGACTTTTTTTAGTTAGTCTCTTTAGCTAACACATTTATAGGTTAACTTAATCAGCATTTAAAAGCTATATATGGTCCTTGTTTATGTGGTATTTCAGTGAAATGAACATTTCTCTCCCTCAACTTTATTGAGATATACTTGACATATAACAACGTGATTTGACATGTATATATTGTGCAGTGATTACCACCATAGTGTAGCTAACATCTCAAAAAAAAAAAAAAGGAACTCTGTGAATTTGTATGTCATCTTTGCAAAGCAGCCATGCTAATCTCTATTCTGATTTTAGTATATGAACCTCCAAAACTAGCACAGACACTCTTGTCTATTCTCTTTAAAAGTGTTTTCCTTTCCCTTCGTCACTGTTTCCTTCTATATTCTACTCATCTGCCAATACAGCCTTTTAAACGGTGAAACAATGTAGAGTACTTGTCATTGTTACATTTAACAATTATTTCCTTTATAATGATTTTTTGACCCCAGGTAAGGTGGAAAGAAATTTTCTTATCAGTGAATCTGTCATAATAAAAGGAATAGCTTAGTAGTTGTAGTAAAGGTAGTCATTTTGGAGCATTTAACATATGACTTAGTTGACAGATTTCCAAAAAGTACTGTACTTCAATTCTGTATATTAGAGGCCCGATGTACAAAGACTCGTGCAAGAATGGGCCTTCCTTCCCCTGGCTTTGGGCACCACTTTCATCAGGTTGGAGCCACCATTTTGCTCTGGCCTAGAGTTGCCTTTCTGCTTTCCCATGCTGCCCAGAGGCCCAGTGCAAAATGCCTGCATCGTCGCCATGGCGACAACATAAGCATCCCCCCCTTCCCAGCTGCTGGGTACCTACATATGCAAATTAACCCACAATCTTTGATGGGTTAATTTGCATACTCACACCTGATTGGCTGGTGGGTGTTGCAAAGGTACGGCCAATTTGCATCTTTATTAGTGTAGATATATTTTTCACATTTTAAAATCTTAGAAATCAAGATGTTTGTTAAAGTATTTAGTGTCGTGGTTTATTAGCAATGTCTTATTAGTCAAAACATAAAATAATAGTGTATTAAATAACATTATATGGGAAATTTCTTTCATATTTTATCTTGTAGTGTTCCTGAAAATCTAATTGTTATAAACTAAAATGTACAACAATTGTCTAAAAACTTTGATGTCAGATGTTATACTAGTATGAAAAAAGACTTAAATAGTATTGTGAATATTCTTATTTTAAGATTGTAATAGAAATAAGACTGTGGGGAATCTTTTGGATAATAGAGTAATCCTTTTTAAAGTTTGCCATTTGCCTTTTTTATAGAGGGTGAATATTGTTAGATTGGAACTTTATTCTTTTCCAAAACTTGCGTCTTAATGTTCTTTTGGGAGTAAATCACATTGCCTATCTTGGCTTGTTCGGCATTGATCCCAATGCGCGGTGATTATTTGGAAGTAATGAGCTAAGAGTGCAGCATGTAGCAGAATGTAAGTGAAACGCTGCGTGTGTTTCCTAAGTCTGTCTTTGCATTTCAGCGTGCCCAAGCTGTTCTCCAGGCTGTGACAGCCGTGCAGACAGCAAACACGCCCCTCAGCGGCACCACCGTGAGCGAGAGCGCAGTGACCCCCGCCCAGAGCCCGGTGCTCAGAATCATCATTGACAACATGTACTACCCCGTGACCCTGGACGTTCTCCACCAGGTTCGTGTCTGCTGTGCACGCCAGCCGAGAGGTCGGAGAGGTGATAATAGAGGAGATAACGTTTTCCTTTTCATGTCTCACCAGATATTTACTAAGTTTGGTGCTGTATTGAAGATAATCACATTTACAAAAAATAACCAGTTTCAAGCTCTCCTCCAATATGGCGATCCAGTGAACGCTCAACAAGCAAAACTAGTAAGTGTGGAGCTGTGTTTGAGAGGTGGTCTTTTCCTAGGCCACCCACACCGGCACGCTCAGCCCTGTGAATGCCCTGTAGCCAGCTGCGCGTGCACGCGGCATTACAGGTGGCGCAGACGGGTCCGTGGGGTGGTGATGGCTCCCACGCCTGCTGTGCTCTCTGTGCGTTCCTGAAAGTAGCGCTGACGGCTCTGGGACTGCTCCCCGGCACAGCTTGCCCACACCCGGTGCCACAGCTCTCCCCTCTCAGTGTATCCCAGTGCACACTGTGCATTCTGAACTGTCACTTAGTAGTTGTGCTTCCGTGCGAGGAGCTGGAGCTCGGGAAGGGACTCAAGCCTCCCTCGCGCGTGCAGCGATGCTCTTTCAGATGCTGGAGGGGAAGTCTCTCCTGAGCACGGTGCCACTGGGGATGCATGGCTGCCGCCGCTGCCTGTTTGCGTTAGGTAACCAGCTCTGCATCCTGGCTCCTCCCTGGGCCCTCGGGCGCGCGTGGGGTCTTCTACGTCCCAGGCTGCTCTGGTGCAGCTGCACGCCTCACGGGAGGGAACGCTTTGCCCATTTCACGGGACTTTCCAGAGGCGCCAGATGCGCCGTAGTGAGTTACCTGCATGGCCCTTCGCTGCGGCAGCAACAGAAGCCCTTAGCCTCAGCGGGCCCCGGCGGGAAGTGTGGGAGTTACTGGCACCGTGTTGTGTGGGCGCTGCGGTGGCAGGCCTGGGTGGGACCCTTGTTTTTGCAGGTTTTAAAAATGTATTTGTGCACGTGCTTAACGGGTTGTAGCAAGGGAAGCAGGAAGGACGAGGTCTGGTCCCTTCCTGTCGCTCTTGAGTGCAGGCCGTCGGCGCTGTTTTACTGTCAGTCATGCCTTCTGCTAATTGTCACTCTAACACGCTCCTGTACTTTATTCACTTTACAGGCCCTAGATGGTCAGAACATTTATAATGCTTGCTGTACCCTAAGGATTGATTTTTCCAAACTTGTGAATTTGAATGTAAAATACAACAATGATAAAAGTAGGGATTACACCCGACCTGACCTCCCGTCTGGGGATGGACAGCCTGCACTGGACCCCGCTATTGCCGCAGCGTTTGCCAAGGAGACGTCCCTCTTAGGTATGATTTCTGTTGTCTCTGTCATTGTCCCCATTGCCCACAGAAAGGGCCTGTTAAACTCCACCAAGTACAGTGAGCCCCCTGTCCCCGATTGGAATGGAACAAATTGTGTCACATTTTACTTTTCTCGAGCGAGAAGCCATAGGAATGCTGTTAGAAAAACTTCAGTGTTCTTCATAAATATCGACACTCCAGTGGATGTCGTGCTGCCTAGAGTGAAGTGTAGGTCCAGGCCCTTGTGCATATTGGGAGGATGAAGGGGGGGGTGCGCTAATCTGATTGTTTTCATTTCTCACAGCATAGAAGCAGTGAGATGCGAACAAATATGGACTGGGAGAAAATAATTTTCTATAAAATTAGTTTTGGTATTTATTTGCTTTTACCTTGTTTGACAATGGATAGGACCACCTAACAAAAACAGAGCAAAAATTTGCAGCTGATAGAGTTGGAGTCAAGGTGAAGAAATAAGGAAAATGTTATTTTGTAAGTAAAATGATGAAGTCATCACTTAAGGTGAAATCTTAGTTTCCTTTTACTTGATGTGCCTGGAACATTCTTGATTTCTGACTTTTTAAAGTTGTCTTTATAATTTCTATCCATATGGAACCAAGATTTCATGAGTCACAAAGAAGCTCTTACAGTTAAGTTTATGTCCATCAATTAAAAAAGGAAAAAGTATTATAATGAAATAATTCTTGAAAATAGATATTTACTGTGGGTATGTAACATTGTACTAGCTTTTTGTAAAAATGTAAGTGATACATCTTGAATAGAGGCCCCTAATGCAAGAGAAGCAATTGACATTTGAAATGAATTCTGGTGACTTCAGACAAAACTGACCCTTTGTTCTAATTTTCTGCTACATCTCGCACCAGCCATCTGTTCATCCTGAGGATAAGGGGTGCTTTGTTTTGATAACGTTGTTTCCTGAAAAGCTCTTTTACTTTATGGATCTAGTTTAAGCCTTTATTTCCTCAAATCAGCTTATAAATCAATACTGTGTGAGGTGTACCATCTGTAAAGGTAAAGCTGAGAGAACCAGTGAGTGACACGTGCCCTTTGTTTATAATTATTACTATAGATTCTTAAAGGCTTTATCAATAGAAGGTATATTATTACGTTTATTATCTTGTAGGCCCTAGGCATTTTGTTAGGGACTTGGCAGGCCCTAAAGGTATCAAACAGAGAAGATGACATCAAGATCTTACACATAATTTGTGAGAAGCTTAAGAGATTCGCATGCAACTCATTAAAGAAGCAGCGTCACAGTCAAAGTCCAAGAAGCCTCAGCTGACGCCACACCACATGCGGGGCTCGCGGTGCTGGTGCCGTTGCTCCTGTGTGTGTGCTTAGCCGTCGCGGTTTTTCCCAGGGAACTCTGCTCTTCTCCCTGCAATCGCAGGTGCCCTGCCTTTCCGCACCGAAAGCATAGGAGTAAAGCCACTCAGTTCCTGATAAATCGTTGGGTGTCCTCCAGCTCGGTGGTGAATACATTAACATGTTTTTGTTTATTCTCTGCCTGAGGAGAACAAGGAAAGCGTTCTGTGGTGCAGATACATGAATTCGCTTTCCTTTACTCCGCGACTTCATCAGTTACCGGTTCTCGTGGCTTTGCATCTTTTTATGTGTAACAGGGCTTTTTATTCCCAAAGTACCCTTAACATAGTTTTGCAAGTAGGTGAGTTAAAAGTTTTTAAAATCAAATAATGCAGTCTCTAGTAATTTGGGTAATTTATAAGAGATAACCATTGTTATAGTTTTACTGAAAATACAAACTTTTGTAAAAGGTTAAAACCATTTTATTTGCAGTTTTGTGTATAAATGTCATTTTATTAAGAAAGTTTTTAGCCGAAACCGGTTTGGCTCAGTGGATAGAGCGTCGGCCTGTGGACTGAAGGGTCCCAGGTTCGATTCCGGTCAAGGGCATGTACGTGGGTTGCGGGCACATCCCCAGTAGGGGGTGTGCAAGAGGCAGCTGGTCGGTGTTTCTCTCTCATCGACGTTTCTAGCTCTCTATCTCTCTCCCTTCCTCTCTGCAAAAAAACAATAAAAATATAAAAAAAAAAAAAAAAAAGAAAGTTTTTAAATGATAACTTTAACAGTAGCATTGTGTGATAGTGGGCAATGTCATTGGACATAGTTCCATCCTTCCAATTACTGTAAGTGGCATATGACAGGCACCTTGTATGTGATCTGGTTCTCAAACGATTTCTTTAGGCTGGATTCCTAGAATTAGAATTACTAGGTCAAGGAAAATGTTCGAGGCTTCAGATCCTTATTGCAAATGTCTTTTAAGAATGCGCTAGTAATTGACACTAGCGAGAGGGCTACGTGAGTCTGGCTGATCTTCCCCCTGCCAGCATTGAGTGCTCTTTTTTTTACTTGGTAGGGTCTTCATTTGATAGGAATATGTCAGACTGGTTTTTTATCATCTTATAGCCTAGTTAGGATTCCCCAAGTATGAGAGGAAGAGGGTTAAAGACTTGAAATGGAAACTTGAAGCAGTGCACATTTAAATCATGGGTAAATAATCCACCAAGATGGAGGGCTGAGATGAAGAGGATTAGATGAGAAGTGCCTGTTCAGTTCAGTAGTTACCGTAAGGAAGGTGTGTGTATCAGATGATGGTGGTGGAGGGCACACTAGGAGGAGAAAGTACCTCCCCTGAGGACAGGAAAGGGGGGAAGGAGGGGCAGGAAGACAGCAGCCTGGGCAGTGTCCGCAGTGAGCACGTGCACAGTCACTAACCCCAGGAGGCAGGGACTCCACACCCAGACGTCCGAGTCCAGGATCTGGCCCAGCCGCCACGTGGAGCCCGCGTCCCTGGTGCTGTGGCCGCAGTGCGGGTTCCGTGTGCCAGAGCCTTTGGTGAACTTGGCAGTGCTGGGCATATAGAGCGCTCAGTTCATGTTGGCTGTGTTCCAGGCTGGCTTCAGTTCTAGAAGTCACTGTAGTGACTGGACCAAGAGGACGGGGAACGTTGGGTCTGGAAAAGGGAGATACTGGTTATAGCCATCCTGAGAACTGGCGGGAATCCAGGGGCAGACTGGAGTCAAGAAAGGAAGTCAGTGGCCTTACAACCCATGTTCTTGGCGCCATTCTGTCTCTGAAGAAAGGGCAAAGCGGGGCAGGTGGAAGGAGAGGACTTGAAGGTGATTAAAGAATTTAGGGGTTTCTGATCCTTGCTGAACACAATGAGATTGACAGTAGGAGACAGGACTTCAGGCTGGTGTGCTTCTTAGGGAACTCTGGGGGATAGACTAGGAATCTATTGGTGCACGCCTGCGATTGCTGCTCTTACTGCTTTACAAAGCCCTGTGGAAGCACAGCCAGAGCAGAAGCCTGAGATAGCCTCACCTCACTGCACAGTGTGAGCGGGTGGGGAGGAGCTAGAGCAGCTGGGAGAGCAGGCGCGTGGAGGTGGCTCTGGTTATGTGGCACAGGATGGATGTGGGTGCGAGGAGGATTCGAAGTTGAAAGAATGGATGACTGGGCAGGGAGAGGGAAGAAGGGCGGAGCAAGAGAACTTGTCACTGGGGGCCACGTGCACAGGTGTAGCTGAGTGTGAGGAGGTAGAGAGTATAGTCCTGCATCAAGAATGTACTAGAACCCTGGCTGGTTTGGCTCAGTGGGTAGACCATTGGCCCGTGGACTGAAGGGTCCTGGGTTCGATTCCTGTCAAGGGTATATGCCCTGGTTGCAGGCTTGATCCAGTGGGGGCATGCAGGAGGCAGCCAATCAATGATTCTCATCGTTGATGTTTCTCCCTCTCTGAAATCAATAAAAATATGTTTTATTTTTAAAAAAAGAATGTACTAGAAAATGCTAAGGATTAGGAGCTTTTTGACTTTTTTGTGTTCATCCTCACCCAATGATATTTTCCTATTGATTTTTTTAGAGTGGAAGGGAGGGGGAGAGAGCGATACATCATGTGAGCGCCACACATGGAGTGGTTGCCTCCCACGTGCCCCTGGCCAGGGCCTGGGATCAAGCCTGCACTGACGGGTGTGCCCTCGACAGAACCCAAACCGGGGCCTTCATTCCATTGGCTGGTGCTCTGTCCACTGAGCCAAGCCGGCCAGGGTGAGATTTTTTAATTAAAAATTTTTCTTAATTGATTTTAGAAAGAGGAGAACATGAATTGGTCCAGACTGGGGATCGAACCTGACACCTTTCAGTGCATAGGACAACACTCCAACCAACCAAGCCACTCTGCCAGGGCAAGTTTTTAATTTTGGTAACGGATTCCAGGTCACTGGCTCTGAAAAGTGGATAGGAGATGCTGAGGGGAAGGCAGTTCTCTAAAGAAATAACTGAAGGATCTGAAGGATGAAGGCGCAGCAGAGGCTGGGAAGCAGAGCCAGAGTCAGGAGGAGCAGAGCGGTCCTGAGGCGAGAGCACCATCCCTCCGCCGGGGGCAGGTGGCGGGGAACTTGGGTTCGTGGTACCCGAGTGAGTGGAATTGAGGCCAACAGGTTTCGGTAAGACTTCCTTCAGGCCCTCTGAGTACATTAAATACGGTTCAGGTCATTTGTTCAGGCAGTGATTTTCAACCCTTTTCATCTCATGGCATGCATGAGTTACTAAAATTCTGTGGCACTCCAAAAAGTTATTTTTTGCCAATATGCTGAAAATTGTAAAGTTGGTGTAATGATGGCTGTTGCATTGGCTATGGGCACTGGTGTTACTGGACAGTCCAGGACATGGTCAGTATTCCTGCTGTCAGGGATGGCATGTTTTAAACACGTTCCCAGCCTCGGTTGGAAATCACTGTCCTCAGAGCGGGGACCCTGGGTTCTGAGCTGTGCTGACTGGTTTGATTTCAGGCGTGAGCTCAGGAAGAAGACCGCTGTGCAGGAAGGGAGTCACCATATCTGGAAGGTGATTTTTCAGGAGGGTGTGCTCGTCTGGACTTGACTGTTCCACCGTCATGCTTCTTTGCGTTTCCATAAGAAACGGGACCAGATAACTCAGTGGTCGGAAAACTGTCGCTCGAGCCTCGGTTTACCACTCTGTTGACTGAGTTTGCCGACCAATGCTAGGGAAAAACACTTAAAAATCATTTTAATAATGTACTAATGTCTTTAACCTGAAGTCAAAACTTCTGAGTGAGGGTAATGTCTTTTGCAGCGGTCCGCAAACTCATTAGTCAACAGGGCAGCAAATGGTGGTTCGCGAGCCGCCGTTTGCTGACCACTGGTCTGACTTGTTAATGTAGCCCATTCTTTAGTTCTCTGGTTAATGATTTCCCTGAAGCCAGCTGTCTTTCCGTAAGACTCCTGTCTCAGTGTTACACAGATTACCTTTCAGGAACCGTGGGAGTGCAGCGGAGACCCTGCAGCCTGGGTGCTTAAGTTGGTGTTTGTAAACGACTTGTGTGTATTTCGTAAAATCCGCTTTATTTTAAAATTAGGGCTTCCTGTTGCAGCTGTTCCAGGAGCTCTGAGTCCTCTGGCCATTCCTAACGCCGCGGCGGCTGCGGCTGCGGCCGCGGCGGGCCGCGTGGGGATGCCCGGAGTGTCCGCGGGCGGCAACACGGTCCTGCTGGTTAGCAATCTGAACGAGGAGGTTAGTGGCCGGCCGTCCTGTCCCCCCCATCCCATCCGTGCAATTTCCATGTGGATTTCATTTGGCACTTGCCTTTCTGTTACGTACATTCATTAGTCAAAGTATTTTTGTATGTTTCTACTTCTGAATAAAACCTATGTACTTAAGTAATACTTTATTTCCTTAGATAGTCATATCTCTTTAAATATATATTTTTAACCTAACTACCTATTTTTCCTAAGAAAAATATGGTGAAGTACAGTAGTTTGGCTTTTTATCTTTTTGTTGTTCTCAAAGGCAAATGTAATCCAGTTTGCAGATTTAACTGTAAAATTTTTTGCTCTTTGCCTTGTCTAATTATTTGCTTGTTCATTTCATGCTTATGTGTCATTGTATTTTTTAAATCTTTTTGATGTGAACGACTCTAATCCGTGTTTCTTTAAAGGTTCTTCCAAAGATCTTGCCGAGGCACTCTCCCGCCTTTTAGTAATTTTCTTTGCAGTTATTAGTCACTGTCTCCTACAAATATGTCAGCGTTACCGCCCCCGTTAAATAGTTCACCGCTGAGTTATTTTTTAGTTGTACATTTATGTCTGGTATGTTTTATTTTGATTGCTATGAGAGCTGGTATGAAATGTGGGAGGCTCAGTGTATCAGTTATGGTGTCTAATTTGAACATTTGTTTCATTTTTAATTGGCCTCTGTCAATACGAACATTGAGCTTATTTTATCATTGGTACTATTATCATTCGCAGTTCTGCATGTGAAAAGGTTTGATCAGAGTGCCTTTGTTTTCTTTTAAAAATTCTGCCTGCATTTCATAACCAGCCATGCTTATGCAGTTACAGTTCAGAGTTTACAACCCTGTGCATGCTCCTGCCCCGTGTTGAGATGAAATGCTGTAATTACTCTTTGATGTAGATGTACTTTACCCATATTTGTCTTGGATGACTACATTTTACTCAGTTTTCTTGTACAGTACATAAACCAACCATTTTTCTGACCAAATTCCTGCATTTCCTATGTACTGACCTATATTTTATTTTTTTTTTGTTCCCCAATTCCTTATTTTTTTCTTCTGCATTGCTGTTTCCCTTCCCCATTTCATCCTCCTCCCCGTGTGTTCACCTTCCCTCTCCTTGTCTTTCCAACACCCATTCCCTCCCCTGTCTGATCCTTATTTTCCTTGTCCTTGTCTTCATCCCCTGTCTCCATTCCCTCTGTTCATGCTCTGGGCTTGAACAAATGTTCCTCGGACCAACTTGCCCCAATTAACCGCCTTGAACCATGATCCATGACCACCTCACCATTCTGCGGGAACCACCCTTCGTATGGATGATCTGTTCATCTCCGCTCTTCCTCGACTCTCCTCTCTCCTTGTCTTACGCTGCTTGCTCTTCTCTCCTTCTAAAGATGGTTACGCCCCAAAGTCTGTTTACCCTCTTCGGTATGTTATTGTTAGCACTATACTTTTATTATTGATTTGATTTTGGTTTCACCTTAATTCTTATTTGTAGCTAGCACTTTGGCTTAAAGTTGAATAGTAAATCTTTTGCTATTTTTCTTTGCTATTTAAAACTCTCCATAGACACAAAATTTGTTTTAATGCATGCTGATTTATTTTGCATGGTCTTTAATATCATTCACATAGCTTTGAGGGTTTATCAAAATTTGTTCTTTTCAAAATTCACTGTTCAAAATCTTGATCTTTCTTTATTCATTTGTGAGAATGGTGCGTTTGAACGGGTGATCATGTTGGTGTCTGAGTGTGTCATTAGTGTGTCAGATGACCTTTGGCTGGCTGCGCACACAATTAACTCCCTTTTGGATTGCTCTGTGGCTCCACCCAAGGTGTCTATGGCGACGTGCAGCGCGTGAAGATTTTGTACAACAAGAAGGACAGTGCTCTGATCCAGATGGCCGACGGGCACCAGTCACAGCTGGGTAAGGCGAGCTCGTGTCCTTCCGTGGGAGCGGGAGGAGGCGGCTGTGGGTGGTGTGGGTGAGCACACGTGTGCTTTTCCGCTTTCCTCTCACTGTCTCATGGGAAGGGGTTCGGGCTCCAAAAATGCAGTAACGACTGTGCATAAAAATCACGGCATTTATATTATAACGCTCCTCTCCTGATTGTCCCCGGTAATGGAAGCTAGCTGTTGATGTGGTCTGGGATCCAGGTAATGTCAGACAGCTGGATTCTGACGTCATTTACAGGTAAATAGTCACGTGGAAACGTGTTTTAAGGATACCAGGTTCTTTCAAATGAAAACCCTGTGCCAGATACACCATTCGTCCCTTTGGAATCTTAAAAGACAGACTTTAGTCAAGTGACACCGAGTTCTGCGTATGTAAGTCATCGGTGATTTTAATTGAATTGGCATCTCATTTACTACCTTGTTTTCCCGAAAATAAGACAGTGTCTTGTATTAATTTTTTCTCCCGAAGTTGCGCTAGGTCTTATTTTCGGAGGATGTCTTATTTTGGGGGAAACACGGTACATCAGAGTCAGATCACATGCTTGGGTCTGACCGCCTCCTCACACAGTGATGGCCTGAAGAGATGCTCTTAGCTGAGAATGCTAGTGGAGGTGCAGGAATGATGGTGCCTCAGGCTGACTGCATCGTCACAGTTGGCATTTTGAAGTGGCCGTTTCTGAGGTGAGCATCAGTGCAGGGTGCTGTTCGGCTAGCCCGGCTCACCAGCTCACCAGGCACTTGCCTTTGGAGACAAGCGGCTTGAATTGCAGCGTTCTCACCAGTGATGGTGTCGCTCAGACAGCACACCCCTGTGTGCAGCTGTCTTTCTGCTCCTGGAAGTGCAGGTCTCTGCCTCTGAGGACAGAGCTCAGGCACCGAGCCTTCCCTTCCCCGCCGTGAGCGCTTTGCTCGGGCGGCTGGTTCTTGTGGGAGCTGCGGGTGGCAGAGCCTCGGTGAACGATGCCCACAGTCCTGCGGCTGAGCAGTACCTAGCGGGAGAGGGGCGGATTAAACCAAACCCTTCCGAATCGATCCTGGTTTTGTTTATGTTCAGACTGTTGTCATGAGTGTAGTGTGCCTCCATTGGGGGGTGGGAGAAGAGGAACTTGGGGTGGGGTGGAGCAGGAGGGAGGAGAGGACAGAGGGCGTGCTCACTTCCTTTCTTGGGGCCATGGCTGATGGTGGTCGGAAGAGGGGGGTAACCTGGATTTCATTCCGTGGAGGAAGCTTTTCTGTGAGACGCCTCGTCTGCGGGGAGTGGATTCAATGTGACACCAGTGGTTCCTAGACGCTCAGGACTCCTCTTTAAATTCGAGAGTTCTGATTTAAACTGTTAAAGTCACCTTGCTCTGTACTTTGTTACAATGTGGGCACTGTTTTTGTTTGTAGCCATGAACCATCTTAATGGACAGAAAATGTACGGGAAGATTATCCGCGTCACTCTCTCCAAACACCAGACTGTCCAGCTACCTCGGGAGGGGCTCGATGACCAAGGTCTCACTAAAGATTTTGGTAATTCCCCGCTGCATCGCTTTAAGAAACCCGGATCCAAAAATTTTCAGAACATTTTCCCTCCTTCTGCAACCCTTCACCTGTCCAACATCCCGTGAGTATCAACAGTTAGCTGGTGCTCAGGAGGGTGGGCCCCTGAGAACTGAGTGTAAGCCGATGACTAACCTTTCTTCCTGGTTTGCTCCCCTCCCCCAGCCCGTCCGTGGCCGAGGAGGACCTGCGGACTCTGTTTGCCAACACGGGGGGCACCGTGAAGGCGTTCAAGTTCTTTCAGTAAGCACCTTTCCGGGCTTTCGGTGACGGAGGGAGGGCGAGTGCTCTTTCGGAAGTTTTACTCTTTTGGGTACGGACGGGTTTGTGGAACAGGCAGAGCTCAGGTGTACCTGGGCTGCCGGGTGGCTGGCAGGGTCTCACTTCCTCTCTTGTTTCAGAAGAGATCACAAGATGGCCCTCCTGCAGATGGCCACGGTGGAGGAGGCCATCCAGGCGCTCATCGACCTGCACAACTACAACCTGGGCGAGAACCACCACCTGCGCGTGTCCTTCTCCAAGTCCACCATCTGAGCGGGCGGGCGGCGGCAGATCCAGTGTCACACCTGTGACTGTCAGAGTGGGGACCAGAGTTTTTTTCCTTTTTTTTTTTTTTCTCATGCTGTTACCATTCCTTGGTTCTAATCGAAATGGCATATGTAAAGGCAGAGTATTAACTGCTGATTCCATCTGTTCGATAGGGAAGCCATTTTTATTGTTTAACATTGTTTAATTTTTCTTTTCTTTTTCAACTTAGTTGACATACGTGCCTTAAAGGAAAACTAGTGTTGCTATTGTGCAATTGACTAGGCATTTACAAGGATTGCTTGTCTCGGGCACACTGTTATATGGGGTACACATGTATAGGCAGGGTGTGTGAAAAGGTTAAGTTTTTGTTTCTCCTGCTTGGAGCGTACTTTGAATTACTGGCTTGTCACTTTTCTTTCTATTTAGTCAAATAAGATGCAGGATATTGAAAGAACAAAGCAACATTTTTTAGTTTTATTACCTTAGGCTTTATTGCTTTAGAAACACATTGGCCTTTTTGTACCTCACCATCTGGTCTAGATTCTGTTAGGAGCGTAAGCATTAGTTGAGTTAACGAGATGCAGAGTATTAATTTCTGTCAGTTTGAGCCCTATGTGGAGAGCATCCTGGAACCTTAACCTTTTGTACACGCTCTTGTGGGACGCGTCATATACTACCGTCAGCACCAAGTAACGTCTTGTTTGTGGCTGAATATTTTCCGTAGATGTTTTTTGAAGTTGACATGACTTAACGTGCATTTCAATACCTATCGCCATCTTAGTGTGTGGTGACGACTGGACGTGGCTGTGATTGCTGAGCATGGAGGGGTCTAGCTAGCTCAGGACAGGTGCATGTCTGTCCGGGAGGCAGAGTCGCTGCAAACCTTGGCAGGAAGACGATTTGTGGCAGTTTTCTAAAACTGACAACCAGGTGGGACCAAAGTTTATGTGCCTTTAGTCTTAATTTACCTTGCATTGTAATATTCAGTTTTAATAAACCTTCAAAATATTTTGTATTTAGGAATAGATCTGACTTTAATAAATACATGGCTCAGAATCTACAGGTCAAATTAATTTGAACAGTTCTTGTCGATCTGAATTGCTGATTCTGTTTAAATGACCAATACTTTTTTGAAATTGATGTACTTAGTTCAAGACTCATAGATTCTGTTACCTATGTAGACAGAACGGTCATGTATATTTTCTATTAGTTGAGTTTTTACATCTTTAGAAATGTAAAATCCAGTCTAGTTTGGAAGCGGCACAATTAAAAATTACTTTTCTAACAAAGTCAGGAGGTCGATGGTGGTCTACTTTCCTTGTGTGTACTCTGCTCCCTCTGTAGCATGCTCAATAAACACTGCAGCTCTGCTCACTCTGTCTCTCTGCTGCCTCTCCTGTCCCTGTGCTGTGCGCCCCGGCCCGGGGGGGGTGGGGGGCAGCACACCCACATGCTGTGAACATGCACCGGGGGTGGGTTTTGTTTTTAACTTGGAAGACGGTGACTGCTTCCCAGGGGGGCCGGGTGTAACCTTTCCCGCCCCCGTTACAATCCGCCGCCTCGCCGGATTGTAGCCCGTGCCACCGCTTCCCGGCTCCGGGGGGCGCAGCCCTCTCTCCCGCTGCCATGCTCTCTCGCGGTTTCTCCTCTCGTCCTCTCTGTCTGCTGAGATCTCTGGTCCGGAGCGGAGGGTCTTCGCACCACGGACACATTCAGGCAGTTGAAGCTTAACTGCTTTCTGATTTCACAACTCTCGCTTCTTAAAGGGTTCTGAACAAGTACTGCACATATTACTCAATGCTTCAGGCCACATTTCCCACAGGCACACGGGTGTCCGAGAGCTCAGGCACTGCTGCCGAGGTTGGCGCTGTGAAAACTGCTAATGTGTGTGGAGCGGAGTGAGCGGGGCGTGGCCTCTGAGTGTGGGCGGGGAGCGTGTGGAGGCCACGTCCTCAAGCAGGACCTGCCCGGGGAGTGGGCACGGGCTGCGCTTTCTTCCCTTTCATACTTAGTCCTCCTCTGCCTCTCCTACTTAGTTACTCCCTGGACGTCAGTGGGCTTTTAGTTTAAAGGTTTTGCGAGTAATAGAATTAAAGTGTGCAAATATGCACAAAAACAGACAACATTCTGAGCACGTGGGCAGGCACACCCACATGCTGTGAACGTGTGCGTGCTCTCCACGCCTCAGATTCTCACGATGAGGATGTTTGGACGTGGACAAGCCCCTCATCAAATCTCATGGCGCCTGTTAACTTTAAGGAGGTTTTAAAGTTGGTTTCTTTTCAATAAGCACTGAATGTGAATGGTTTGTCTCACGTTTCTCCCAGACGAACCCTGAGCAGTCGGTCTTTACATACCTCCCACCCGGGCTGGCGGGCACAGTGCTTTGGGCTTGGTGTCATTCAGGATTTCTGACCCAAGGAACTTCAACATCTATGAAATATCAAACACGCAAAGATAGGACTGTCACGGACCACTGTCCATGCAGCCTTCCCTCCACCACTTCCCACCTCCTGTGCCTCACCAGCCCTCCTGGCCGCCATCACCCTGTGGCCACCGCGTCGGGCCGGCCTGGCACACCAGCAGGACAGCCGCCTCCGGGCCCAGAACCTTCATTCATAACACAGCCCTGAGCCCAGCAGCTCCCAGTTACCTGCTGAGCGTGCAGTCCGCTCCCTCCCCCCCTGTATACCTTTTAAGATCAGCTTCAAGGTTTTGTGTTCCCTTCCCCCCCCCCCCGACAAAATTTAATGTAGTTGCCTGTGTTTAACTATCAGAAATACGGAGATATAGACCCCGCCTGAGAAGGAAGCGTTAGTTCACAGAACACAAGGGCAAGAGACTGGTGTCCCTGTGAGCTCCAGATCTTGCTTCCTTCCTGGTATTGCCTTCTCTGAACTCAGCTGTTCAGGCAGCGCTTGCTGCACCCCCGCAGCCCACATCCCTCAGCTCCCGGACTGCGGGGCCGGACTGTCGGGCCAGCTTATATCTAGCCTATCGCTGTAAGCGTGCTGGGGGCTTTGCCACAAGTCAGGCCGAGGCTTGGTCCTGTCCGAACGCTGCAGCCGCTCCACAACACGTTCTTCACTATCACCTACCTTCAGTCTTAAAATCCATCCTCTCGTTGGACAGGAGGAGCCCCCGGGGTCCCCTGAAGCTGCGGTGACAGGTCCCCGTTGTGGGTTCTGTCGGGGCGCGGTCAGGAAGCCAGCAGGTACGTGGTTTGGTGTGTGTCTCATAAATCCCTGGAAGCTGTGGCTGGGTCTTCAGCCCTCGCAGTTGCGGAAGAATTCTTGGAGGTTGGTGGACAAGCGTCAGGTAGGGGCGGATGGGGGTAGGCAGGTGTGCCTGTGTATGCCTCACCTGGGAGCACCTGCCGGTTCACCGTGAGGCCAGGGCAGCACCGCTGGGCCAGCGGCTGAGGCAGGAGGGTAGAGGCAGCGCTGGGCCGGTGCCAGCGCAGACGCCATACGTCCTGCCATACGTACGCCGGAGCGCAGGCCTTCCCATCCTCACACTCCTCACCTCCGTCAGACCTGGTGACCCGGGCGGTGAGCAGGTCACACCGTTAGCTGCTGGCACTCAAACCGAGGTCTCGCCGTCGGCAGACACTGGCCTCTGGCTCCCCACTTGGGCTCATTGGTTAATGACCGGGTTTGTGAGCACGAGGGCTGGCTCCTCAAAGGTCCTCCGCTCTGTTTCCCGGGGCGTTCCACTTCAAATATTAAAAAGGCAGCGAGACAGCATTCAGTTACAGATTTTCAGGTTTTCGTATAATCATAACCTTGAGGCATTTTGAACTTGAGCTTTGTTGGAAATTCACAAACATGATTATTTCAAGAAGCACTGTCTTAAAGTTGTCCTATTGCTGTAATGAAGCTGCTAGAAATTTCATTTATTCTCCAGTTAAATCTCAGGAAACCGAGTTTATCAGAGGCAATCAGTCAGTGCCGAGCCGCGGCTTCGAGTCGGCTCAGATTTACTCCTATCAGTCAGTCCCAGTTTTATCGCCTGTTCTATTTATTTTCTAATATAAATTTCAATTTAGCACCCTCTGAGGCTGATGCTGCCTATATTACTACTTTTATCATTGTGTCTCTTCACTTATTTACCTCTCGGTACCCGGGGAGTGGGCAGATCCTACACGCACAGCTCTGGTGCTGCCCGAGAGCCCGGGAATGGGCCACCCCGGCCGTGCCTGTGGGGGTGAGCAGGGGCAGGTGCTGGGGTGCCTTCCACGCTGGCAGTGGCTGCTTGGGCAGCCGTGACCATGGTTACTCACCTCCAACACTTAAGTCCAATGGTTCTCAGAACACGCTAGGAACGCCCTGCGTCTGATTTCAAATGCCAAGAAGCACTGTGTGCCAGGCATGGGAACACAGACCGACATGTGACTTAACACACAAGGAGCCACCCGCACTCCGGGACCAGCAGGCCCCCACTCAGCACAGCCGGCGGTAACGGGCGCCCTACCTCGGCCCGGGCAGCAGGCCTGGGTCCGACAGATAAGCTGGATCACAACACATGGCTCTCACACAAGCGCCCTGCACCGCGGCGTCCTGCAATCCAGCCCCACCTGCCACCCCCGCGAGGGCTCTGAGCTTCCCGTCACCTCTCCACCCCCTCCCCCCGCCCCACCTGCAGGCCCCAAGCCTCGTCCAGCCTGGGCCTCGGGTCAACTGGCTGCAGCTGGAGGCCCAGCCCTCGGCTCAGGGACTGGTTGGGGGCTCACAGGGGAGGAGCAACCGCATTGGGGTGTCCCTGTCGGGGGTTGTGAGGGCTCTGCCGGTGGCCCGGCCCAGGGTCACCATTGATAACGCGGACGGCTGATGCCCAGCCTGGCTCAAGCGCCTGCTGACCACGGATCTGAGTCCAAAGGAGGAGGCGTAACCTGAGCCTCCGGGACTGACCCCTCGCCAGAGGGCAGCGCCCCGGGATGGGCCGGACGCCAGCGAGGACAGGACAGTGCCGGCCGGTGTGGCGGCTGGGACGGCGGCTGCCGCAGT